TTTAACATTTCTCTCAAATGTCTTGCCTTTCGTTCTTTCACATTTTGGGGAACTTTCATCTGTTTTCTCATTCTTGAATTAAATTGGGAGCCAATTTTGATAGACTATTAGCTGTGATTTCTTTCAGGCTGATATACCAGAACTTGTTAAGACATTAAAATGCATTTAATAATTCTTTTCCACAAAAAGTAGGATAATCTTAGAGATTGTGTTTTGAGGAAAAAATAGAAATAATTTGTGTGACACCTTGGTTACTCATGCTTGCATATTAAAGCCAAGCACCTGAAATTAAAATTTTTAATTCTGGGACCATGGACACTAGTGAAAAGAAGGGCTAAAATATTCCATACTGTCAACAATTTACTCTTCACTTTTTTAACCTGCTAATTGTTACAATTTTTATATTCTTTCTACTCTTTTTATTAGAAACTGCTTGATATAAACTCAGGGCTTTGTCAAAAGTTTGACCAGACCAGCACCAGTTCCAATTCATAAATATCAGTTTCAAATATGGTACACACTGCAAAGAAGAAAATACGAAAGCACAGAGGTGTAAGACGAGTCACCACTGAGTAATGATGTCCTCAATACTATTGTCTTGGTAACTAAATCTCTTTATTTAAAATCTATGACATAACATCTCTTCATTATATATTCAGTCCCTTCTAAAGTGGCAAGCATCTGGATTGGGAAATAAAATGTGTAAAAATAAATCTCCATATTTTAGAGAATTCTCATTAGTTAGTGTGAAAAAGGAAAGTAATAGTTACAATCCCTTGTGAGAAAAGTCTGGCAAAGGGCAGTGAGAACATAGCAGAAGGTGTGTTTTTATCTGTCTGGGCAGTGGGAATCAGGAAATGCTTCATAAAGAGGGGCACTTAGAGAAACAAAAGAGGCTCGAGAACAGTTGATATTTTGTAGGGTGCTTCCTTGGCAGTGATTGGGGATGAGACTGAAGAAAGTAGCAGGTTACATATTGTGCTGAAGTCTGGCACTTTATCTTACAGTTTAATGCTACTTTAAGCAGAAGATCAGTATAGTAGAAGTTGTTTCTCTTGGATAAGTTTTTTGACAACAGTCTAGAGAAATCTGTACAATGAGGATTAACAGAATAGATTAGAGGGCTAGGATGGCTCCTAGGTATAGAGTAGTTGGAATGAACCCAGCCTGGCAACCACACAGACTGGGGATTAATCTTGGCTTACTGCATATATTTGAACAAGTCACTTCAGTTTGCTCATATATCAAGTGAAGCCAAAAAATTTTGTGAGTTGTTTGTGAAAATTAAGGGTCTTGGTCTGGTATTGAATGTTTGATAAGTGATAGCTGTTTTTATTATAGCTTTTATTTGTGCATTAGACTCTCTTGGGAAAAACCTACAATAGTAGATTTTGAAGAGACTTCTAAGAATGGGTAATGAAGAAAATGCTGGACTTGGAAACTTAATGCTAAGGTATAAGGCAAGGTTATATACCTTGGTGCTTATCTGAACAAGGTTCTTAGCCAGATTTTCAGCTTATACATTTAAAATGTGGCCAGTGATATTTAGCTTACATAGTTGTATGAGAATAGGATAATGTTTGTAAATTTGCCTAGTACTGGTCACTTGGTACATAGTAGGTTCTTTAACTTTTAAGAGTTTGTTGAATATCAGTTTTTAAAAGATTTTTCATATTCTGTAATATGTGTCAAAGTATAAGTAAGAAAAATTACTGGCCAACAGTACCACAAAACAATTTGGTGGAACACTGATAAAAGGACTGAAAATAAATTTCTGTAAAGAAGAGTTCTCAAGAATGTATCATTAGGACTAGGTTTGGCGATGCAGTCTGTAATCCCAGCACTCAGGAGGCTGAGGCAGGAAGATTGGGAATTGTAGACCAACCTGGGCTACGCAGTGGTACCATGTCTAAAAAATAAAAAAATGTTCTTAGAGATTTTACTCATTACAATGTTCAATTGTCATATATGGTGAATTTTTTCTTACCATCCCTACCTTACACACCACACATTCAACAAAAAACAATTGATCATTATAGGTTAGGGTGCCTCTCATTTTGGGAAGGTATCATAAAACAAAATTAGGGGTTCTAATAGCATACCTTTTTCATATATGAATCTGTGGATGATACATACATATGAGATGCTCATGAATATATAGGCGTTTCTTAATTTTCTTCTTATATCTATTTAATAGTATTAGATTTATTATTATCTATTTAATATTAAAATTAAAAATATAAAAGTATGAATGAAGTAAAATCACAGTGAAGAGAGTTTGCTTTTTGCACTGTTTAGCTTACAGAATCAAGTGTTTACTTTTATGAAAAATTTCATAGAAGTCCTGTGTATTTTAAAAGAAAAATATTTAAAAATTTGAGAGAATGTAGAACTGCCAATAAATAAGAACATACCAATGTTTTTAACAGAAAACATTGAAAAGTCAGATAGTGTCTCTATGGGTTATAAAAATGAACAAAATAGGAAGAGTGATTTAACATGTTATTTTCTTTCTCTCCTCCAAGTTCTTATTCCCAGATGCTGCTGAGAAACCATTAGATGGAACTACTTCAACAGACAGTAGTAATCCTCCATCAGAGACTGAAGACTATGTAAGTTGAAGTTTAATATTAAAATAGTTTAAATGCAGTAAATTTCTAGGGGCTCTCTGTTGTATTTCTAGTTTGATAGCCTAACTATCTTTCTTTTATTTTAAAAATCATCTTTGGAAAATTGAGTGGAGATGATGGCATTCACTCAGGTAATGACCTGCTGCAGAACATTAGCATAGGGACCTATTTGGGTACTAAGAGCCTCTCAGGAAATAATGAGAGAATAGCAAAATATACTGAGCATAATTGTAGGAGTCTCTTATTTTAGAGTTTCTGTAAAATCATTAAATGTTTGCAACAGATTCTTGGGTACATTTGAAATCTAGACATTAATTATAAAACTGTTTAATGCAGTAAAATGAAGTAAAATTTTACTGTTCTCCCTATGTGTATGAGAATTTGAAAAATGAGAGCATTTAAAATGGCAAGTAGAGCTATATCAAACAATGATCAGTAGTTATAATTGAAAAATAGACTTTACAAAGTGAAGGGGAAAAGTAGAGCCTTTTGCATTTTCAGTTTTCAGTTTACAGTTCTAATTTTATGGTTTTTGTTTTGACAATAAGTGTGTGCTCATTTGTAATTAAAGGATTTTTAAAACATGAAATTTGAAATACACCTTAAAGATTTCATAGAAATGACAGCCCTTTAACTTATTCTCATTAAGTTACACCTTTGCTTTTTTTTTTTCTTTTATTATTCATATATGCATAAAAGGCTTGGGTCATTTCTCCCCCCTGCCCCCACCCCCTCCCTTACCACCCACTCTGCCCCTCCCTCTCCCCCTACTTTTTGATCTTAGTAGAAATCTTAGGACAGTTTAGGCAGTAGTGTATTGGACATTTGATAGAAGCTAGTTTGCATAGTATAGGTTAATTTTAGTATAAGATCCCTCCTACACACACTGATTATGCATGTAAATATATTGTTAACAAGTTTTGCTTTGTTTCTCTTTTGTTCAATTTAGAATCTCTATAATCAGTTCAAATCTGCACCATCTGACAGTTTAACATACAAATTGGCTTTGTGTCTTTGTATGATCAATTTCTATCATGGAGGGTTAAAAGGAGTGGCACACCTCTGGCAGGAGTTTGTTCTTGAAATGCGCTTCAGATGGGAAAACAACTTTCTGATTCCAGGGTAATAATTCCAATTTCCAGTTGTTTAGGTAGTGTTTTTGTTTGTTAGCAAACATTTGACTTTTGTGTCACTAATTTTCCCCTTCTAGGAAATCTTCCTTCAAAAATTGGTAACAAATTTAAGCACAACTTATGTTCAGATGTGTTCACTGCAACAAGTTTATAATAGGGAAATAAAGGCAAAACAATCTAAATTTCAACATAAAAGAATATTTAAATAACTTATGCTATATCTCTACAATGGAGATATATTGATCCATTACACATTTTGTTCTAAGAATCTTTAATAACAAAATATTCACAATATTTGTAATTAGGAATTGTATTGGATATATGGAATGCTTTAGATTCTGTTGATGTGTATATATAGAGAAAAGGATGGAAAGAAATATAGTTATATATAGTTTTATACTTCTGTGAATTTCCTAAGTGTTCTGGAATAAACATATATTTTGTTCTGTCTTTAGAGTCCATTATAAGTTGTTATTAAACATTATCTTTAATATTTTTATTTTTGGTGTGATTTATCTTAACTTTTAATTAAATAGAACATCTTAATTAGTATGTGTTAGTACTGCATAGGTATTGCTCATCTACCCATGCTGAAAAGTATAGTATGGCTATTGGTTAAAAAATGTTTATTATTATGTCATTTGTCAGTCTTTTTTAGCTGGCTTCTCTCTTGGTTCTGTTTTGCTCTAGAACTTATAAATATGGGCATATCTGATAAAAATTTTATTAAAATTAAGCCTTCTTTTCTTCTTATTTGATAGATTAGCAAGTGGGCCACCAGATCTAAGATGTTGTTTACTACATCAGAAACTACAGGTACAGATTTCCCAATAGCATTATATAATGTGGTCTTGACATAATTGGAGCTTATCCTAAAGCTAAATATAATAAGGAGTTATAGGCTATTCTTATTATGCTGCTGTAGGTTGCTTCTAGTCATTGTAATTCACAGCAAGGTCCTAGGAAAAATTATTCAAGCAACGAACAGATTTTTTCTGTAATTAATTCAACTATAAATGTTATTTCTGTTTTCTTAAGATGTTAAATTGTTGTATTGAAAGAAAGAAGGCACGTGATGAGGGGAAAAAAACAAGCACTTCAGAAAATGTAACTAATATATATCCAGGGGATGCTGGAAAAACTGGAGACCAGTTAGGATCAGACCATCTCAAATATACAGATAAGGAAAAGGGAGAGGTGGGAAAATCTTCGGATTCCTGGAGTGACAGTGAAGAAGAATTTTTTGAATGCCTAAGTGATACTGAAGAACTTAAGGGAAATGGACAAGAGAGTGGAAAGAAAGGAGGGCCCAAGGAGATGGCAAATTTAAAGCCAGAAGGGCGTCTTTATCAGCATGGGAAACTCACACTGCTACATAATGGAGAACCTCTCTATATTCCAGTAACCCAGGTAGGATACACAGGCTTTTTCAGTCTCAATTCCTTTTTGTTGTGGTTTATGTAACTTAATCCTCGTAAGAGATTATTGCTTTAGCTAGGGGTTCCAAGGCCACAATGGGGGTAAGGGGAAAAGTTTGTGAGACCCCATCTCAACCGATAGTTGGGTGTGGTAGTGTGTACCTGTCGTCCCAAGCTATGTGGGAGGCTGAGATCACAAGTATTACAGTCTTGCTTGGCCATGGCAAAAATTGAGACACTATTTCCAAAATTACCTGAGCAAAAAGGGCTGGAAGCATGGCTTAGGCAGGACCTAAGCACCTGCCTAGCAAGCATGAAGCCCTAAGTTCAAACCTCAGTATGGCCAAAAAAAAATTCACACAGGCAATAAATATATGAAAAATGTGTTAGTAGTAATATCTATAAGGGAAATGTAAAAACATGAAATGATATTTTCTTTTTTTATAGCTTCTTGCATTAGAAACTTAGATAATTGACATTCAACCCTCCTTTTGTAATACTTACATTTTAAATGATCTTCATTTGGAACTTAGATGTTGCAATTCCTGCATATATCTTCTTTTTTTTTTCTTCTTTTATTATTCATATGTGTATACAAGGCTTGGTCATTTCTCCCCCCTGCCCCCACCCCCTCCCTTACTATCCACTCTGCCCCCTCCCTCTCTCCCCCACCCCCTCAATACCCAGCAGAAACTATTTTGCCCTTATTTCTAATTTTGTTGTAGAGAGAGTATAAGCAATAATAGGAAGGAACAAGGGTTTTTGCTGGTTGAGATAAGGATAGCTATACAGGGCATTGACTCACATTGATTTCCTGTGCGTGTGTGTTACCTTCTAGGTTAATTCTTTTTGATCTAACCTTTTCTCTAGTTCCTGGTCCCCTTTTCCTATTGGCCTCAGTTGCTTTTAAGGTATCTGCTTTAGTTTCTCTGCGTTAAGGGCAACAAATGCTAGCTAGTTTTTTAGGTGTCTTACCTATCCTCACCCCTCCCTTGTGTGCTCTCGCTTTTATCATGTGCTCAAAGTCCAATCCCCTTGTTGTGTTTGCCCTTGATCTAATGTCCACATATGAGGGAGAACATACGATTTTTGGTCTTTTGGGCCAGGCTAACCTCACTCAGAATGATGTTCTCCAATTCCATCCATTTACCAGCGAATGATAACATTTCGTTCTTCTTCATGGCTGCATAAAATTCCATTGTGTATAGATACCACATTTTCTTAATCCATTCGTCAGTGGTGGGGCATCTTGGCTGTTTCCATAACTTGGCTATTGTGAATAGTGCCGCAATAAACATGGGTGTGCAGGTGCCTCTGGAGTAACCTGTGTCACAGTCTTTTGGGTATATCCCCAAGAGTGGTATTGCTGGATCAAATGGTAGATCAATGTCCAGAGTGGTTGTACTAGTTTACATTCCCACCAACAGTGTAAGAGGGTTCCTTTTTCCCCGCATCCTCGCCAACACCTGTTGTTGGTGGTGTTGCTGATGATGGCTATTCTAACAGGGGTGAGGTGGAATCTTAGCGTGGTTTTAATTTGCATTTCCTTTATTGCTAGAGATGGTGAGCATTTTTTCATGTGTTTTTTGGCCATTTGAATTTCTTCTTTTGAGAAAGTTCTGTTTAGTTCACTTGCCCATTTCTTTATTGGTTCATTAGTTTTGGGAGAATTTAGTTTTTTAAGTTCCCTGTATATTCTGGTTATCAGTCCTTTGTCTGATGTATAGTTGGCAAATATTTTCTCCCACTCTGTGGGTGTTCTCTTCAGTTTAGAGACCATTTCTTTTGATGAACAGAAGCTTTTTAGTTTTATGAGGTCCCATTTATCTATGCTATCTTAGTGCTGTGCTGCTGGGGTTCCATTGAGAAAGTTCTTACCTATACCTACTAACTCAGAGTAGTTCCTACTCTTTCCTGTATCAACTTTAGAGTTTGTGGTCTGATATTAAGATCCTTGATCCATTTTGAGTTAATTGGTATAGGGTGATATACATGGATCTAGTTTCAGTTTTTTGCAGACTGCTAACCTGTTTTCCCAGCAGTTTTTGTTGAAGAGGCTGCTATTTCTCCATCACATATTTTTAGTGCCTTTGTCAAAGACAAGTTGGTTATAGTTGTGTGGCTTCATATCTGGGTCCTCTATTCTGTTCCACCGGACTTCATGTCTGTTTTTTTGCCAGTACCATGCTGTTTTTGTCGTTATTGCTTTGTAATATAGTTTGAAGTCAGGTATTGTGATACCTCCTGCATTGTTCTTTTGACTGAGTATTGCCTTGGCTATTCGTGGCCTCTTGTGTTTCCATATAAATTTCACAGTAGATTTTTCAATCTCTTTAATGAATGTCATTGGAATTTTGATGGGAATTGCATTAAACATGTAGATTACTTTTGGGAGTATCGACATTTTTACTATGTTGATTCTACCAATCCATGAGCATGGGAGATCTCTCCACTTTCTATAGTCTTCCTCAATCTCTTTCTTCAGAAGTGTATAGTTTTCCTTGTAGAGGTCTTTCACATCTTTTGTTAGGTTTACACCTAGGTATTTGATTTTTTTTGAGGCTATTGTAAATGGAATTGTTTTCATACATTCTTTTTCAGTTTGCTCATTGTTAGTGTATAGAAATGCTAATGATTTTTCTATGTTGATTTTATATCCTGCTACCTTGCTATAGCTATTGATGATGTCTAGAAGCTTCTGAGTAGAGTTTTTTGGGTCTTTAAGGTATAGGATCATGTCGTCTGCAAATAGGGATATTTTGACAGTTTCTTTACCTATTTGTATTCCTTTTATTCCTTCTTCTTGCCTAATTGCTCTGGCTAGGAATTCCAGTACTATGTTGAATAGGAGTGGAGATAGTGGGCATCCTTGTCTGGTTCCTGATTTTAGAGGGAATGGTTTCAGTTTTTCTCCGTTAAGTATAATGCTGGCTGTAGGTTTGTCATATATAGCTTTTATAATGTTGAGGTACTTTCCTTCTATTCCTAGTTTTCTTAGAGCTTTTATCATGAAATGATGTTGGATCTTATCAAAGGCTTTTTCTGCATCTATTGAGATGATCAAGTGGTTTTTGTCTTTGCTTCTGTTAATGTGGTTTATTATTTATTGATTTTCGTATGTTGAACCACCCCTGCATCCCTGGGATGAAGCCTACTTGGTCGTGGTGAATAATCTTTTTGATGTGTTGTTGAATTCGGTTTGCCATTATTTTGTTGAGGATTTTTGCATCAATGTTCATTAAGGAGATTGGCCTATAGTTCTCCTTTTTGGAGGTGTCTTTGCCTGGTTTTGGGATAAGTGTAATACTGGCTTCATAAAATGTGTTTGGCAGTTTTCCTTCCCTTTCTATTTCATGGAACAGTTTAAGGAGGGTTGGTATCAGTTCTTCTTTAAAGGTCTGATAGAATTCAGCAGAGAATCCATCAGGTCCTGGACTTTTGTTTTTGGGGAGACTCTTGATTGCTGCTTCAATTTCATTTTGTGTTATAGGTCTATTCAGGTGATTAATTTCCTCTTGGTTCAGTTTTGGATGATCATATGTATCTAGAAATCTGTCCATTTCTTTAAGATTTTCAAATTTATTTGAATATAGGTTCTCAAAGTAGTCTCTGATGATTTCCTGGACTTCCATGGTGTTTGTTGTTATCTCCGCTTTTGCATTCCTGATTCTACTAATTTGGGTTTTTTCTCTCCTCATTTTAGTCAGGTTTGCCAGGGGTCTATTGATCTTTATTTTTTCAAAGAACCAACTTTTTGTTTCATTAATTCTTTGTATGGTTTTTTTGGTTTCTATTTCGTTGATTTCAGCTCTTATTTTTATTATTTCTCTCCTTCTATTTGTTTTGGGATTTGCTTGTTCTTGTTTTTCTAGGAGTTTGAGATGTATCATTAGGTCATTGATTTGGGATCTTTCAGTCTTTTTAATATATGCACTCATGGCTATAAACTTTCCTCTCAGGACTGCCTTAGCTGTGTCCCATAGGTTCCGGTAGGTTGTGTTTTCATTTTCATTGACTTCCAGGAACTTTTTAATTTCCTCTTTTATTTCATCGATGATCCATTCTTCATTAAGTAATGAGTTATTTAGTTTCCAGCTGTTTGCATGTTTTTTGTCTTTACTTTTGTTGTTGAGTTCTACTTTTACTGCATTGTGATCAGATAGTATGCACGGTATAATTTCTATTTTCTTATATTTGCTGAGGCTTGCTTTGTGCCCTAGGATATGATCTATTTTGGAGAAGGTTCCATGGGCTGCTGAGAAGAATGTATATTGTGTAGAGTTGGATGAAATGTTCTGTAGACATCAACTAGGTCCATTTGATCTATTGCATATTTTAGATCTTGGATTTCTTTATTGATTTTTTGTTTGGATGACCTATCTATTGATGATAATGGGGTGTTAAAGTCTCCCACAACCACTGTGTTGGCGTTTATATATGCTTTTAGGTCTTTCAGGGTATGTTTGATGAAATTGGGTGCTTGACATTGGGTGCATACAGATTGATGATTATTATTTCCTTTTGGTCTATTTCCCCTTAATTAGTATGGAATGTCCTTCTTTATCTCGTTTGATCAATGTAGGTTTGAAGTCTACTTTGTCAGAGATAAGTATTGCTACTCCTGCCTGTTTTTGGGGGCCATTGGCTTGGTAAATCTTCTTCCAGCCTTTCATCCTAAGCCTATGCTTATTTCTGTAGGTGAGATGGGTCTCCTGTAAGCAACAAATTGTTGGATCTTCCTTTTTAATCCATTGTCAACGGTGCCTTTTGATGGGTGAATTAAGTCCATTAACATTAAGCGTTAGTACTGATAGGTGTGTGGTGATTCCTGTCATTTAGTTGTCTTAGTTGTTTGAAGGTTTGATTGTGTGTACCTAAGTTTAGGTTACTCTCTTCTTGCTTTTTCTTTTCCTGTGGTTTGGTGCTGCCTGTCTTTTCATGGTTAAGTTGGGTTTCACTTTCTGTGTGCAGAATCCCTTGAAGAATCTTTTGTACTGGTGGCTTTGTGGTCACATATTGTTTTAGTTTCTGCTTATCATGGAAGACTTTTATTGCTCCATCTATTTTGAATGATAGTTTTGCTGGGTAGAGTATCCTGGGGTTGAAGTTATTTTCATTCAGTGCCCGGAAGATCTCACCCCACGCTCTTCTTGCTTTTAATGTTTCTGTTGAGAAGTCTGCTGTGATTTTGATGGGTTTACCTTTGTATGTTACTTGTTTTTTCTCTCTTACA